TATATATATATATATATATTTGTTTTTAAAGCGAACAGACTTGATTGTGTCCCTAATATAGTTCCAAACATGCTCTATGGGGTTCATGGGGCCAAACATTTAAGACTGTTCTTGGTCATCCGAGTTTGTACAGCTTTGGCAGTGTGAAAATTGCAGAAGCGAGGTTCGCCCAAATGAGGCTATTTCGCAATCCCAAAATTTGCTAATAATCTGAGAAATTTTGGTGCTTTTTTAGATATCTCGTGCCACAATATATACATATATATACATAAAAAATTATATATTATATTACATTAGTGAATGCTTTTTCTCAGCTCTAATGAATGCTCTTTGGAAATAAAACCGGCTCATATTATCGATATCACATGCATCACAGAACACGCAACTTTAGAATAATACATAACCAATTAGCCATATTATGCGAATAAATTTACCAGAGAACTGAATCAATCTATTCAGGCACAAGATAGCATTTAGTAATTAAAGTAAAATAAATATGCCGACTATGACGTAAATCCAGGTCGCGTAAAAGAGACGTGGAAGGACCCCTGTGTTTATCGTCTCTTGTTTTATGGCGATTTTTTCTTCTTTATTTTATGAAGTTGTAGTTAATTAAAAAGGTAATTCGTGGTTGGCGGTTGGTAGGTGTTAGTGTAAGTAGGAGATGAGGAAGATGTGATTTCGTTTATGTGTTTTTTTTACAATGATTTTTATTCCTGTGTTACGTGGTCTGTATATTTTTCTTAGTTTTTTTTTATTTTATTTTTATTTATTATTGTTATTATGGTTATATTATTTTTCTTTTTCATGTACTATTATGAATTTTTTAAGGGAGCTCCAGAGAGAATTTTGTATTTGTGAGGTAGTTTGACGTGTATTTAAAGCGTGTATTAAAATATACCGGTGTTTTTATCATACAATACGTTATTATATTATCATTATTATTATTATATTATACGTTATTATCAATATACTATATACGTTAAGTAATTATAATATTTAGATAACTTTCCCGTAAGTGACTAACGTGAAAATGACGGCAACAAAATAATGCCTTAAAGCTACCCTCCGACTAATATAGGATTGCCAGCGATTATTTTTCATATAAATTCCTTTTTATTGACGTTAATTCCTTTTATTGATGTAATTTTATTGATGTTTTATTGATGATGTAATTCCTTTTATTGATGTAATTTTATTGATGTTTTATTGATGATGTAATTCCTTTTATTGATGTTTTATTGATGTTATTAACCACCGGCTGAACGTAGGCGAGGGCAGGATGATCTGCTTCTCTCAGATGCCGGAGTCAGGGTTCGTGACAGTTAGAATATTTCGCTCGACTCGTCTCGCTCGTTCGATGAGTTCTGAATGCGGCATAATTCCTAGTTTAGAATTGGAAGGTTTAGTTAATTATATGTCATATTGTGGTCTTGAAAGCACGGATGTATTAAAATTGGACATGTGAAAAGTGCTGTGTTGTTGATAATAATAATGATATTATACATTTAGTTAGAATCAGAAATTATGTTAGTGTCAAATAAATAAACACTCACGTGAGTTTCTAAGAAGTTAAACACCTTTAGGCCCCTTTATATAGGGTTTATTTGGAGCTTCCTTGTGAACTGTAATTAAAGTGATAAAGCCAGAGGCCATGACCATGACCTCCATGCGTATTGGTGCTCCAGTAAAGACCCATGAACCCTCACCCCATATATTCTAGGAAGACGGAGCTTGTACAGGTTTCTTGTTTGGCCGTAAATTCCCTGGGAGATCTACTAAATCTGTTTTGTTAGAGCATATTGGCTAAGATTTTGGAAAATGTTTAGTGGACGACAGTCAGGATTTTAGTGCATGGCAACTGAAGCCTAAACTCCTCAAATGGAATGACTAACAGAAGGAAGACCCAAGGTTATACAAGTCTGCCCTGACCTGATTCCTAAAATAACGAAACTATTGTCTTTCAGATGTTGCGCTCCTTAGCTCAGGGTCTGGCACAGCTGCACTTGCACAGCACAGGGTCTGCTTTGTCCCGTGTTGCAGCCAGGACCTTACCCATACAAGAGATGGAAGCAGTAGTCCCAGCTGGGTATTTCATTCAAGCCAGGGTAAAGTCTGAATATTGTTTATATACTAATATTTATATATTTATGCATATGTTATATTGCTCTAACAGTGAATACTGTAGAAATTATTAATTGGTTTTAGTAGTGTAATCTTCATATGCAGTGTCAGTGTCTAACTTTGTGTATTTCACATTTTTTTTTATTGTTTTAGCGTATGTAATTGTTTGAGTTCTTTTAAATGTTTTAGCTGTCTTTAAATGCATTGTGATTTCCAGACACATAAAATTCAATGTTTTCATATGTTAGTAGTATACAGGTATACTATAGTATACTATAGATAACTTCCCCGTAAGTGACTAACATGAAAATAACGGCAACAAAATAATGCCTTTAAGTTACCCCCAAACTAACATAGGTTTGCCAGCGACAATTAGTATAAAAATATATGGAATGGATGCTATAATAGCAGTAGTATTGTATATTGAACAGTATTTTTTTTTTTTTTTGGGGGGGGTAATGTTTAGTTTGTAACTTATTTTCACATACCCCTCGGCAGACCACTTTCATTCTTAAACGCAAGAAGAAAGTTGAACTACACAAGACAACTGGAAAGATGCGCCCCTTTAAGGCACGTCACTATCTTTACGAAATGGTGGAGGATACCAATGTTAGGAAGAAGGACCCAGTAAAGCTCATATTGACTAAACCAGTAGAAGGTAAGTCAGCCATATGTGATGTATTAGTATGACCTGTACAGGATGGTTCTTTATTATGAAATACAATTAGTATTTGAAAATGATGATTGGGGTTACATAGGTTTTATGTAATTGTAGGTTCTTTCTTCCTTGAATGACAGATCAGCTCGTTTTAGTCTTATTCAAGGTTTTATCGATCCTATATGCATCAATTCTTTAGCAATATTGAGGGTGAGAAATATATACAAATAAAATAACACCATATATTCAAAATAAATACAGTTAGTTAACAGAAAAATAATTCTTATTTTAGTTTCTGTTCGTCCTCTTATTTCCATTACGAATGTTCAGGAAGAAAAGTTTGCCACTTCCTCTTCACTTGTTACGTGATATCAGCTTCCAGTACAGGATATGGATTTTGTGCAAAATGGCTGGAAAGAGATTTCAGACATGAGTTATGAATAACATTGTCCTATTCGCACTTCCACATTGTAAATATCGCCTTGCTATTAACTCACGAGTACACAGGAGAGCACCGTGTCCCATGCCAGGTGTTGGAGGAAAGACACGCCCCCTTTACTTGCCCAAGCACAACAGCTCGGGAAATACCTCAGGGCATTCGTATAAAGAAAAGGGAGATACTTACAATTTTCCTTCTAAAACCTTTTACATATATATATACACACAAAAAAGAATTCCTTATAACCTTTATATATCTTTATAAAGTAAACTGAGACGTGGGATTTTACATACTTGGAACAATCCACGGACAGTAATGTTTAAGATAGTACACTCAGAAGCAGTAATTTCAGTAATGTAATTTGTTGATTAGATTGAAGTTTCTTTGATCTTAGATTTAAAAAGAATAAGTGTTTTATGGGTTTATGGTATGACATGTATTGCTGCTTCTCATCATCAGGTTTAGGATCAGTAGGAGATGTTGTAGAAGTGAAACCACATCGAGCAAGAAACCATCTGCTTTTACCTGGCCTTGCTGTTTATGCATCGCCAGAGAACTTGGAAAAATACTCCAACCTCATCAAGACCTCAGAGGTGAAAGACCAGCCCTCGTCTCCTTTTGCTATGAAGGTAAGTCGAGTACATTTTTGATACTTTTGATACCTTTATTGACTTTCCATAAAGAAAGAGGGCATCGTTCATTTGTTTACAAGAATTAGGGCTGCTTACCTATAATCTCCCAGATTAATTTTAGTATAATTGGCTCTTTTGCCCTGTGATTACTTTAGCTGAAAATTCTGACTCCTTATAAATTGCATGCCCCCTGATCCTTCTCCCCTTTACATCATATTTTGATGTGTAGGGGGTTGTAGTCAGTGACTTCATAAGCTATCTCATCTCAAAATGTTTTGCTTTGGATGTTTAACCCAAAACCGATGGGCACAGCATGTATGTACATGCCTTATCCACTGTGAGTTTACTTTGTCAATTGTTTTAACACATAGATTGCTTCACTTGTAGGAAGTCACCCATTGAGCCCATTGTGAGTACTACTTGTCTCCCCTGCTACCCTTTTCCTTGATTTTCAAAAATATTTTGTTATCTTATATTGCCATTAATAATGTCAGTAACATTATAGTAATCATAATGTCTATAATAAAAATAACACCATCAATATTGATAGCATTCTTTAAAAAAATCAAGGTAAGTTGTAATCAGGTAAGGTCACAGGGTCTACTAATTGACTCCTTTGTGGCTAAGCAATTGCAGAACCATCTATGTGCAAAGACATTTCACAAAAATTGTAAAATGAGCACAGCATTTTCCTGACGACATTGGGTTAATACATTGATCATTTAATTTTTTTTGGACAACTCCCAAGTTTTGCTCGTTGTCACCTGTGCATTGACCCTTTGGACAAGGTGACTCTCCTATCAGTGTCATGGAGATAAATAGGAGTTTCCCATTTTCTAATTACCTGAGGCAGGAAGACGTTATTTTTGTCTCATTTGTGTCCTAGGTGACCTCCCATCTTTTGGTCCAGGGAGAATGGTACTTATCCCTAAGAATATTGGGCCATCAACACCTAAATTTGTTATGGACTTTGAGGTCCTTTTTGGAGAACTCCTAATCTATGGGTTAAAACAATATTACCCATATTTTATCCTTTGAAGGTTAATGACAAATTATTTTGATTTTGTACCTGACTAGTGATCAGAGAATTATTATTTGTCAGATCAATATACCATCTTTATCTCAGTAGTTATAGAAATTTTATTTTATTTTATTTTATTTATTTATTTATTTTTTTTATAACATCACAACTCTCCATACTTAACAGACTGCTGAGCAACTGTCTACCCGTGTGATTTCCCTGAGCATGAACATGAAGAGTCCTTGGCAAGTGGAACCCTGGCATGTACGAGTTGCCTTCCGCAAGGCTGGAATCATTGTTCCTGAGGAAGCGCTGACACTTCCTGACAAGCCGATCACTGGACCAGATCTTGATTTGCAGGAAAAGGAGTTCCTTGTGAAAGTGAAGGTAATAAATATATATGTATTAAATTTGTTTGTACACATTGGTAAACCTATATGTAAATGTGTCTTATGTATATATGTATTATATATATTTGTGTATGTGTTTTATGTGTTTCTGTGGAAGCTGCATAAGAGCATGTATGAGTAGGCATTTGCATAAGTATACTTTTGTGTGATTTAAGTGTGCCTGTGGGGAATTTGAACAAGTGGTGTGTGTGTAAATATGTATTAATAGAGGAACACTTGAGTTTATGCATGTCTGGGCAAGTTATATAGTGAGTCCTACCATAATGGTGTAGATACTTTATTTTATGTATATTTGTACAAATGTAGATGAGTACACTTAACCCGTATTTATATGGTGATGCTGGTTTTGGCGTCATGAAGCACCTGTGGAATATACTTTGACACTGATGTTGGTGTCCTAATTCAATTTTATGTTTGTTGCTGTTGAGTGATCCTTATATTCTGTTCTGGTTCTATTTTTTAGACTCCTTATATTGCCCTAGAAATTCTGTGGCTCCACCCACCATCCCTCTTCCCACCAATCATATAAATCAGATAGGCTATGCCCCACCCTCTACCCAGAATGAGAAGCTATCATTGGCAGAGTCAACATCACAGTTTCCCCCTGTGTAGTCCTACCCTTGTCCTCCATATCTCTCTACCCTTAATTTAGCCCTCCACCAGGGATGGGAGAGAGGGAGAAAAAGTTTACCTTAGTTTACCCTGAAATGAACTTGAGGCTTCATCAAATTTTTCCTTTCCATTTTCTGTGTGTGTGTGAGTGAGTGAGTGAGTGAGTGAGTGAGTGAGTGAGTGAGAGAGGAAGAGACTATTTGATAAGAGACCTGCATGTGCCCTGTATATGAGCAACGTGAGTCTTTTAATCCATCTAGAGCAAAATGTTGTTGTTGTTGTTGTTGTTTTTTATGCAGTGGGACTGTCTAAAATTTACAAGAGGTTTTTGGTGAATATCAGCTAGTGATGAATAGAGTTAAAAGACTGTAAATAATACAAACATTTGACCTTTAATACTTGTATTAGTTCCATAAGCTACTGACAACCTTGCCTAAATATCCTCTTTACCTTCAGATCAATGACAAGGAAGAGGCGAAAGTCCGTTGTCGTATTAACCATTACTCAGTCAACCCTCGTGAACGTATACCTTGGAAGGCATTTCACTGGGAGCATGTGGCAGAACCAATCTTCCCAGAGGAGGCCGAGGAGTTGCAGGCCCTTGCACGGAAAAATCGACACACGAGGTTCCCAGAACAAGAGGAAGAGACTATGTAAAAGGCTACGAGATTCAAGTTATATGTGAATGTACTCTGTAGTTTATGTAATGTTGAACAATCATTGTGCTGAAGTGATTTGTATATGGACAGCTGTTCTGAATGTAAATAAGATTGATACAATTTATTTTTTTGTTTTATTTGTACATATTTCTGCAAATTCACCCAAGAATTTTCATTTCAGATTTGAAAATATTTTGTATGATATGAAAATAGCTAATGAAAATATAAGCTAACTGTAATGCAATATAATCTATATAATAGTAGAAGAGGATTTAGAATTTTATTATTATCCTTATTCTTGATGTGCCCCTTTGATACTTGTACAAATCTATGAAAACAGTAATTTATCAAACAGATAAATTGTCATAAAAAACATTTATTGAAAATGAGATCACATAACCATTTAGTATGGAGGGAAATTTTCATAACCACTTCTTTATTTATTCTTAAATGTTTCTTACTTGAATTAGTTGTTGAAATACTAATGAATAGTATTTCAAATGTGTATAGGGGCATTGGTACATTGTAGTGGCTTGGTATGTATTAGTGCATCTTACGTTTGTCCTCAATGATAGGCTGGATTCCCAGTTGCTAGTAATGATATTAAAGTGAATTAATAGATACCATAAATTTGTACTATGTTTGCATAGTGTTGTAAATGGATATTAAAATAACTTCACATAGTGTGATAATGTCTGGTGAATTGAAACTAGTTATTACTTGAAAATTATTATTTTAAAATTATATGTGAACTGTCTCAGTGGTAGACAATTTTCAGGGTGCAACTGTAATCTAATGAAGTTGCTCAGGCACTTTCTCTTGTAATATCCCAGAATCGAAACTAGCCAAATGGACAGCAGTTGTTTCCCCAATCACCACTGAAGTCAATGCACACTCCTTCTTCATTACATAGCTTGCCTGTTTCCTGAATCTCCTGTATCTGATCAGGTGTAAGTTGCCAGTTAGACTTTATCCAGTGGCGTAATTCGAGTGCCAGTATCAAAACCTCGGGTTCATCCTGAGGAAAGAATTTAGATAACAAACTTGTGTATTATGGGAGAGATATTGTGGCAAGATAATTCATTGCATGATTACTCAGGAGTTATAACATTACCTCTAAAGCTTTTGGGAAAGAGGAAAGTTCATGTGAGAATTCGTGAGTTTAGAACTGTTATATCTACTTAATAATACACAATACAACATGACAAAATGGTTTTAAAGAAATAGGTAGTTAATTACTTGTATATACTGGTAAAGAAAGAAGTTGAAATAGATTTTTAAAAAACTATCACTGACCAAGAGTTTTGGGCTCGCATGACCTTTAGATGACTGACCAGCTATCAGTGCATTGCCAACAACTTGGCCAGTAAGTGCCATGTGAAGTACTGCAGTCCGCTCTGTCAGGAAGAATAGAAAATGAGTATCAATAATAGAACCAAATGAAGAATGGAGGCTTGTTGCAAGGTGTCCTTCAACATGTATGGAGTATATACAATTTGTGTTGATACTGGGTGAGTTGTTGTACATGGGAGTTGTACACTGAGACAAGGTGAATACTGATTACCTAATAGCTTGTATCTGATTATTAAGCTTCCTGATAAAATAGTGTTTCTTCTTTTCGAGTAAAGAAGGAAAATATATGATAATCCAATGTACCATGCATGTTGCCTTACCAGTAGGAGAAAGGGACTGGAAAAGTCTAGTCTGAGGAGAGTCCACAACTGGGAACGAGAAAGGTGCTGCACTGGCCACCCCTACCCCCACCGCCACCAACACCACTGCTATCTGCATAATGGGCTTCATCTGAGGAAGGAAAATCATTGAGATAAAGTAAATAATGAAAAAGGGTAAACATACTTTTGTACTATGTGCCACTCTCAGCTTGTCTTGTTCTTGAGTCATGTACAAAATATAAAAATCTTAATAAAGATATAATGCTAATTTAGAATAACAAATATCAGAGAATTCCACTGGGTAAGATATATATAAATGAAGTATATATGCAGTGACAAGTAAAACAATTTAATTAAATGACAGGTGTTGAGTCTTATTATATTCATGATGTAATATAAAAAAATAGATAATTAAAGTAGACCTGATGATAAATGATTTAATATGTACCTAAAATGTCCAGCAGAAGAGCACTACAAACTGACAATATGTATGAAACTCAAAGGAAAACCAACTTGTTCATTCTGGAAAACACTGGATTAGTGAAAAATACAACAGTATTACAAAAAATGTAAGAATGTATATGGACTGCCATATAACTTCTGGATAAGAAAAAAAATCGAAATAAAATGATGAAATACTTAAAATAATAACAACAACAGTATGGTTAAGGATTTTATCAATGAGAGATTTCTGATAAACTGGAACTCGCCAGACTTACCTTGATTAATTCAGAGGAGCATAACAAACATCCAAAGTGCATTAACTGATCAGTTGTTCACAAATCTTGGGAGTTGAATGTGTTGACAGTAATAGCACTGCCAGTGATATACACGTGGATTGTTGTGCTGTTGTCAGTTTGTTTGCCTGCTTTTTTGCCTTAGTGATAAGAACTGTGTGTGTGTGTGTGTGTGTGTGTGTGTGTGTGTGTGTGTGTGTGTGTGTGTGTGTGTGTGTGTGTGTGTGTGTGTGTGTGTGTGTGTGTGTGTGTGTGTTTTGGGAGAGAGGGCTTGTGCTTGGATGTGTGTGGTATATGTGCGTGTGCGTGCGTGGGTGTATGTGCGTATATGTGTGTGCGTGGGCTTGTGTGTGTATATATGCGTGTGCGTGCGTGCGTGGGTGTGTGTGCTAGTGAGTACATGCTTGTTATAAAAAAAACATGTAGCAATCATATTCATAAACAATACAAATCTTTGTTAACCTAGAGATCGAAAACATAAATATGCAATGCCAAAAAGACATTCCCCTCTACTTACAAATAAAAAGGAATATCGTCATCGACGGACAAGGTCATAGTTCAAAAAAAAAAAAAAAAAAAGAACAAGGTCTTTCTGCTTTATGAGTCATACGCAGAAGACCGGAAACTTTTACTTCCTGTAGTTTATAATCTTATCTCTATTTCTTTTGCCACGTTTTTTTTTATTGCTTAATATCACGTGGTTATTACGTACGTACCTTTCGGACTTGATAAGGACAATCTGTATTGCCAGGGGATTACTGGCTTACAAATTATGCAAATGTTGTGATGGTGATAACAATAATAATAATAATAATGAAAATAATAATAATAATAATAATAATAATAATAATGAAAATAATAACAATAATAATAATAATAATAATAATAATAATGAAAATAATAATAATAATAATAATAATAATGAAAATAATAATAATAATAATAATAATAATAATAATAATAATAATTATTGCTATTATTACTATTATCATTATTATCATCATTATTATCATTATCATTATTATTATTAATTAT